AAAAATGGAAAGAATTCAAAAATTTTTGATGGCATTTGATGAGAGCCTTCATGACTTGATTCATTTCCATATTTGCTAGCCCTTTTCATTCTCTCTCTCTCTCTCTCTCTCTCTCTCTCTCTATATATATATATATATATATATATATATATATATATATATATATATATATATATATATATATACACTACAAAGTACAACATGCCAAGGACCACAAAATCTTTGCATACAAGAGCCCTCTCGAAATTCTCAAAAATCAAAGAAAAGTTGCAAAATTTGTAACTTCACTTCTAGACGCTATCAATCTAAACCAATGCCACTAATACATTCCTAAGATCCTCAAGAGTCTTCCAGAGTCCAGATTCAACCCCTAAGCATCCCATATCATCCTAATAACTTCCCACGGTTTTGGTAAAATTTTGAATCTCAAACTCTCTTATCATGTAACTTAAATCATGTTTTGAGCAAATCTAACGTCTTACATGTAAGCATAGATGCAGGAATTCAGATGTATTGAATCAAACGAAGCTCCTGGGCTCAGTTGTCTTGGGCCTAGCCAAACTCAGGATCGCACCCCCCATTTCCTTTTGCAAACGCCTGAGCCTGAGATATTGGGCCTTGCGAAAATCTGACTATTCTCCCCCTAACTTTTTTTTTGCAGCAACTCATTTAGTTTTCTTTTTTTTTTATTATTTCATTTACTATTTTATTATTTTCTTTCAATTAATTCTTTTTTATTAAATAATCATAAAAATAAAAAATCACAAAAATATTAGACTTTTTTTTTAATTAATTAATTTCTTAAAATCATAAAATCAAAAATCACAAAAATAATTAGACCTAGATTTTCATTAATTAAATTAATTTTAATTAATTATTTTAATCAATTTTATAAATTAACTAATTAGACTTAGGGATTTCTTAATTTAACTTGATTATTTCTCTAAACAAAAAATACAAAAACATTTTCTTCCACTTAGATCTTTAGGGTTCTTTATATTTTTCTTTCTTTCTCTTCCGCGCGTTCATTTATTTTTATTCGCCTTATTTTCATAAATTATGTATTTGCACATGGGATGTAATAGTTAAACTAGGACCATTTACATTTCTTTCCCCCCTTTTTGACTTGTAATTCCCCCATCCCGAAGTATTGTAATAGCGTAGATTCAAATTTCCGCATTTTACTTTCCGTACTTATATTAACTGCTAGATGTATGCTAATAGGCTTGTATGATAAGACTAAAAGTAAACACTAGAAAACCTAACACCCAAGATAAACATAACTGAAATACAACACACTCGCACATGCACACTTCTAAGGCACCTTCACTTGTTGCCTTCGGAATAAACAGCTACGTCTCTTGAATGTAAGAGATTTTAGAAAAGACCCCGTGGTTTAAAGATCACAAGTCCCTCGATGACCCTTTCGACGTTATCTCGGTAAATAATCTCAAAACCTTAGGGTAATTGCTAAAATATCTTACGAGTTGCTTTTGTGACTGTATGATGACCCTTGTCTGTCCCCCAAACATTCAAGAATAGGGCTACCTACTGAATAATAGTATGATAACACTGTCTAAAGGAAAAGAGGAAAAGAACAAAGATCTTTCAAGTAGGTAGACCGCTTATAGTTGCTTGCTCACAAAAACAAACAAAACAATGTTTCACACATACACAAATTCTTCTCTAAAATATTTTCAAAGACAAAGCACTTTGTATACGTTCTCAATGATATGAGAAACATTACAAAGTTCGCCGCACTAAGGCGTCTTTTCAAAAATATTTTCAAACACACTTACACAAAAAGAAAGCATTTCAAAGTGAGCTAGCAACTAAGAGCCCGTAGATAACTACAGATGGAAAGGGTGCTAAGACATTCCCTTTTCATAATCTACCCCCGAACTCAAAATCTTTTAAAGGTCTTTCATGTTCTTTTCACCTTTTCCTTTGTTAGATAAAAGAGAAGTCGGTGGCGACTCTTGTTAACCGCAACATTTGCGATAAAAACGTAAAACTAGTAAAGTCAATTCTTCCACCGTATTATAATGTCCAAACCACTTTTCGATGAAACTACATCATTGACTCAAGCAATCAGAGTTGTGAGATAACCTTTTGTAGCCTTCACAACATCTTCTTGACGCTTTTCCCGAGCTAAGCCAGTAGCTTCTTGACGCTCTTCTTGAGCCTGCGCAACAACAATTAACTAAGAAAATCAGTCATCATTGTATGTTTTGACCAAGGGCGTCAACCTATCCGCAATATATGAGGCAATAATCGCCTTCTAGGGAATAAAGCTTATAGAAACTTCAAGAGAGGGAATGAACTTGTCTTCATATATCTTGCAAAACTTGTCATGATAAAAGTAGACATTGATCGCATCTAGATAATATTGCATATGTTTCACCGCTTGATCATCAAACAACTTTGGCGCCTCAGAGAGATTAACATTAGTAGATGAAATGTCATTTCTTTCAAGAGCAGTTTGGATGAGAGAGGTGTAGAAGAGATGGCGGCCAAAATTCACCTTGCAGATCATGATCTGATAAATTATAAACTAATTTAGCTAATTAATGTTTGTCTTTCAGAGTAAAATCCACATTAGAAACAAGTTGGTATCATCAGCCATTGCCTAGTTTCCAGCTTTCTCGTAGAAGATTTTCACATCAATTTAATGAATCATACGCATTTCACATTTCATCTAATTGATATGAAAATGCTCTTAGTCTAAATGTTCTCTAAGCATGTTCTTTGAGATCGACTCAACAAACAACTTAAAGAGGAACATATCTCTATATTCGAAATCTTAATTACGGAGAGGTATAATATATAATAAAATTTTAAAATTAGATAATATATATTTGAAAAAAATTAAGATTAAATATTGTCTTAGGTGAGGATAATCTAATAAAAGCCGTTTCAAAAGGTTTAAATTTTGCTAAAAAGTAAAAAATTTAAAAGAGTTTTTTAGTATAGAACAAAAACATTATTTCAAAATGATGGTAAAGATGTTAATTAAAAAATAGGTGGCAAAGATGTCCTCAAAGATCTATCTTTCCCACCACTTTTTGGAGATTTTAAAATTTAGATAGAAAAAGAAAAAATAATATTCTTACAAAACTCTTTTTGGAGATTTTTTTATAAACTTATAGTTTTGAGATCCTAAATGATATTCATGCATAAACTAGTTAAAATATCTCATCCACCTAGAACGCTTAGATACAAAATACAAGGCACAACTCAGTTGAGCCAAGAGAAACATTGATTTAAAATTCTAATCCCTTTAAAGGCACAACAACATTGAAAATGAAAACAAAAAAAAGCAATGAGAGTTTGAAACCATGTTAAGTAATACATTTAATAAGCAAAAAAGAAGAATAAAAAGCATAACCATAATAATCCAATGTTGCTGTATAATTTGAGTAGTAGTCTCAAGTAACATGATCACTTGCACACAATCAATTATCCAAGTAGTAAGTAAGTAGCATTCTTGTGTTTGAATAGAAGTAATGATAAAAAAAAGATAGAGAGAGCTCAGAGGCAATATTATTCATCCAGTGTTTCAAGATAGGTGATGTTACCTAACATCACAATATTATTCATCATAGCTCCCCCAACAGATTTGCACCAGCCGGGAATCGAACCCGGGTCTGTACCGTGGCAGGGTACTATTCTACCACTAGACCACTGGTGCTTGTTGAACTAACACGAAAACAATAGCTTAGACTGTTTCATAACTTTCGTGTGTTTTGAATAGAACAACTGTGCAGCAGCGAAGTCTCAAGTAACATCTAGTAAGTAAGTAGCATTGCTTGGTTTGTGTCCAACAACACAACATGCAAAAGCATTGTCTTATTTTCTGATGAAAAAGTTAGAGCTCAGAGACATATTTTTCATCTAGCATTGATTTACACCAGCCCGGAATCAAACTCGGGTCTGTACCATTGCAGGGTACTATTCTTCCACTAGACTATTGGTGCTTGTTGAACTAACACGAAAACAATAGCTTATACTCTTCCATAACTTTCGTGTGTTTATCTTGTGACAAAATTTAAAGGCTTTAATTTCTCAATGTGTTCCTTATTTTCTATGTATTTACTAATAATATTTTCTCATCAAAGAACTAAAAGAATTCAATATTTTCTGCCAATTGATTTTACTGTTGCTTGCTTTGTTGCCTAAACTATTTTTTATAGTTAATTATTATTATTTAGGCAAATAATTTGATATATTTTTACATGGTTGTTTATTTCAATTTCTTTTATATTGATATATTAACAAAAAAGAGGATTTTACTTGTTAGTTCAATTCAATTGCTATCTACAGGAATATCTAATTGTCTGTACGCATAATTTTCATAGAGAAGAAAATGTTTAATAATTTTAAATCAAAAGATAATGGCAAAAAAAATAAAAGAATTTGTTTTAGTTAAAAGTGAGAGTTTTATTTTTTTTTAAAATAAAATAAAAATTGAGAAATGAATTATCTAAGAGGTTTAGTTCAAATTTAAGGTCTATTATTTGAGGACAAAGACAATTTCTTCGGCAAGCCCTTCGAGAAATTTCATCATTAAAGATGTAACATCTCAATAAAATTGGACTTTCTTAATATTTTTAAGGGTTAATACCTATTTTCACCCCTGACATATGGGATGTATTTGAAAAACCCCCCTGCCAAAAAAAGAGTTCCAGTTGTTACCTTGACAAATTTTAAAAGTTTCAGTTTTTACCTTGAGGATGTCACATCACATAAAAGGCTGATGTGGCTTATATTTTTGTTATATTTTTATTATTATTTTAATGACATGGCTTGATTAGTTGTCATTTTTAATTAATTTTTAATTTGTAATTCCATATGGCATTTATATTAATATTTTATTTTTTTGTCCTTCAACAGGAATCGAACCATGGACATATTGTCTGCAGTGAACGCTTCTTACCACTAGACCAATGCATTTTCTTTGTTACATATATGCATCAATAAATATTCATATCATTAACATATTAAATGATTCCATCAGGTTTGATTCCTTCCTGCAACATTTCCCTATACAAATCAATCACTTCCTTATAACGCCCATTTTTACCATACACACCAAGCATCGAAGTCCATAACACAAGGTCTCTAGTTGTTTCATTTTGAATCTGCATTCCATCCAACTTGAAAACCAGCCTAGCCTTCTCTACCATTCCACATTTTCCATACATCTGAACCAAGGCACTCTGCATAAACACATCACTCTCTATATCAGGCATAGTACAGAGCAAAAGACTATGCAGCTGTCTACCCATTTCAACGGACGATAATCCAGTGCAAGCACGTAAAGTGATCATACTTCAATTTCAACACAGGCATCTTCCTAACCAATTGGACTCCCTTAATCCATAGCCCAGCCTGAGAATAACCAGACAAAAGTGCATTTGCACAGACATTATTCTTGTCAGGAATTTCATCAAACACGAGAGCTGCATCTTTCACATTAATGGATTTAGAGTAATAATGAATAAGAGCAGTAGTGACAAAGACACTAGAAAAGAAACCAGATTTGGTCACGTGGGCATGTATCCGTTTTCCAAAATTGAAGTGTTGGAGTTTAGATGAAGCGGTCAAAGTGGTACACAAAGCGTATGTATCTAAGGAAACAGCATTGGTGTGCATAAAGGATAAGGATGCAAGAGCATGAAAGGGGAAACCTTGACGACAAAAATGAGAAATGATGAGATTGAAGTGTAATGGGTTGGTTGAGTTGATGCATTTGAGGAAAGTGGTAGTTAATGATATGAATATTTATTGATGCATATATGTAACAAAGAAAATGCATTGGTCTAGTGGTAAGAAGCGTTAATTGCAGACAGTATGTGCATGGTTCGATTCCTGTTGAAGGACAAAATTTTTTTAACTTTGAATTAACACTCAATTAATAAAATATTAATATAAATGCCACATGGAATTACAAATTAAAAATGACAACTAATCAAGCCATGTCATTAAAATAATAATAAAAATATAACAAAAATATAAGCCACATCAGCCTTTTAGGTGATGTGGCATTCTCAAGGTAAAAACTGAAACTTTTAAAATTTGTCAAGGTAACAATTGAAACTTTTTTTTTGGCAGGGGGATTTTTCAAATACACCCCATATGTCAGGGGTGAAAATAGGTATTAACCCTATTTTTAAAGACATAAATTGTATACTTTTCTAGGTTTATCGCAAAAATTCAACATTGATCATACTAGAACATTTTACTATTGTGTTCAAGTTAAAGCTATTAGAATTGGTTTGGTGTGCAAATTAAAATTTTAGACAATTCAGTGTACTACTAAAGATTTTTAGAATGTGTTGGGTTTAGATAACTCTGGTTATAAAATTTGCAAGAATATTAATGATTTGGATTATTAAATATGTTCGCTTATTCGTGTAGTTTCAAAAAAATTGTTTAAAGACAAATTGGATTTGTCTCACACACTACTACTCAATTGAATTTGAACTCTAGGTTGATTCACGGGTAATCATGAAGACTTTTTTCAACAAGAAGGATTGGTGGTGTGGAGTGGTGTATCTAATGGCGTGCATGTAACAAATAATTGTTTAGTACTTTCTAATCTGGTAAGTATTAATGTTGTGCTCACATGCTAGAGCATCGGGGAAAATATTTGGTCCTTTTAACGAGCTTTTGTGTTAGTAGTATTTTGCATATCCTAATACTAACTACTAAATGTTTGTTTTATGCATGACTAAGTATGTGAATGATTGTATATTGATAGTTGTTAATTGGTAGGATTATATGCTACTAACTATGTGTTAATTGGGTTCGTGCATGACTAAGTCTGTAAATGATTGTATGATTGATTGTATTGTCTGTTTGTTTTGGAGCAACTGACTGAATTGTTTTGTACGCTTCTAAATGTGATGTTACTGTTGGTGCTTAACTTTGATAATTAGAAGATGGCTGATGTTGCTGATTGTATGCTCTGATAGTCCAGTGCTTCTACTGATTGTCACTTGTTTTGGTTTAAATGAGTGTTATATCTTGAATAGTTATTTTGCCACAATTTGTTAAAGAGGAAGATTGTAGTTCCTTTTAAATTGGCCCTTTGAGTTAGCTGCAATTTACAAAACAACAACATGAAAAAGTGTTCAAAGTATTAAGGATTATTCTAACTTGTTTAAGCTATATGAAGGTGAAAAAGAGACACATGCTAGACACGATGTCCCAACATATTAATATTATAAGATAATGTATTTCTGAATGAATGTTTTACAGAGATATACAACTATATATATATATATATATATATATATATATATATATATATATATATATATATATATATATATATATATATATATATATATATATATATATATATATATATATATATATATATATATATATATATATATATATTACATATGTGTTGCTTGGGGTGTGAAGATAATGGTGAAGTGCAGAGAGAGAGAGAGAGAGAGAGTTAAAAGTTGATAAAATTAATTTAAATAAGAAAATTCTATGTTCTACAAAATACAAATATATCCCCCTATTCATTTTGCACTTCCACGTGGATGCTCTCTTCATCCATCTTGCTTCTTTCTTTCCCATATTCCTATCTTCCTTTCTACTGCAACTTTTACATTAGATTTTATTATTAATGACTTTATCTCTGTCATTTGTAAATATGTATTCTCTCTCTCATTTTTTTCTTCACTCTCTCTCTCTTTTATCCAACAATTTTTCTTTCTCTTTTCTGTTAAATTGTAATTCATAGTGTCGAAAAGATTTGATTTATTTTAGATTTTAATAGATTTGATTTAAGTCTAGAATGAATTAGATTTGATTTAGTAACAAAATAGATATTTTGGGCTTTTGACTTAGGGTGTAAGCTCAGTTATAAATAAAAGGAGTAACCCATATTTTTTGTAAGCAAGTCAAACAAGTCATTCACAGTATTTTACAGTTGCAAAGTGAATAAAGAAAGTTTTCACAGTTTGTGAGCAGAGAGAAACTCTGCAGAAATTATTTGTCTTGTCTTCTTTCTTTGTTTGTCTCATAATTAAATTGTTATTATGGTAGAAATTCATCATAGACTTTAGTGAGTTTCCAACATCTGATATCAAGAGCTTTGTTTCGATTCAAGGGAAGTATCAATCAAGAACGATTGAAGAATTCATAATGACAAATTATGGGAATGCAAACTATCCAACACCACTACCAATTCTGAAAGTTGACAACTATGAGAATGGGTGCAAACAGATGAAAGTCTTATTCAAGTGTCAAGGTCTTTGGGACCTTGTAAAAGATGGAGTCAAAGCGCTTGGAGAAAATGCTCCAGAAGAAGAAAAGAAGAAATACGCAGAATCTGAGAAGCTAAGTTATAAAGCATTATTTATAATTCATCAATGTGTCAGCCCAGACAATTTCGAAAAAGTTAGTGATTCAGAATCTGCAAAAGAAGCTTGGGAAATCCTTGAGAAGTCTTTTGGAGGTGCTGAGAAGGTGAAAGAAGTGAGGTTACAAACTCACAAAAGAACATATGAACTACTTCATATGGAAGACAGTGAAAGCATATCTGATTTCTTCACTAGAGTTACAAAACTAGTAAATCAAATCAAGATATTTGGAGAAACGTTAACAACAAGAGTTGTTGTTTCGAAGATCTTGAGATCTTTAGCTCCTAAGTTCGACCACATAGTGGTGGCGATAGAAGAGGGGAAAGACTTGTCGAAATTGACAAAGGAAGAACTTCAAGGGACGCTTAAATCTCATGAACAAAGAATGAATGAAAGAGCTACAAGAAAATCGAAGAGTGATGTGCCCTTGCAGGCACATTCAGTAAAAGAAACCAAAGGCAAAGGAAAGTGTTTCCACAGAGGTAGAGGTGGCTATAACAAATCGAATGGTAGAGGAAACCAAATCGAAAGAAACATGTCGAATCAAAGAAGGCAATACCAAGGCAACCAAAGAGGTGGTGTTGCAAATAGAGGAAGAGGTGGTGGTCGAAAAACTGATAAGAGTTACATTCAATGTTACAATTGTCAGAAGTATGGTCACTATTCGAGTGATTGTCCAGAAAAACAAAAGAATCAAGAAAGTGATGCCAAGCTTGCAAAACATGAAGAAGAAGAGATGATGTTGATGGTCACAACAAAAGATGAAGATAGATTCAAGGACCAATGGTACTTGGATTCAGGATGTTCATCACATATGTCTGAAAGGAAAGACTGGTTTGTCAACATAAAGCCCTCAACGAAAAATATGGTAAAATTTTCAAATGACAATACCCTAGCAGCTGAAGGTATTGGCGATGTTATGATTATAAGGAAAGATGGAAAAAGATCAGTAATCTCCAATGTGTTGTACAAACCAGGCATGAATAGCAATTTGCTTAGTATAGGGCAGTTGGTAGAAAAGAATTATAAAGTGTCAATCGAAGATAAGATGATGAGAGTTATTGATGCAAATGGGAGATTAATCTTGAAGGCTCCTATGTCTCAGAATCGAACCTTCAAGATTGAACTAAATATGATGGAGCACAAGTGCCTTTCGACTGCAGCTAGCAGAGATGAATGGATATGGCATTATTGACTAGGCCATCTCAACTTCAGAGACATCATAGATTTGAAGAGAAAAAATATGGTTTCAGGATTGCCTGAAATTGACATTCCAAATGAAGTATGTGAGGAATGTGTGCAGGTGAAGCAACACAAGAATAACTTCAGCAAGGATGCAAGAAGCAGATTCAAGGCTATTCTTGAAGTCATATACTCTGATGTATATGGACCAATCCAGGTGGATTCGATGGGAGGTAACAAATACTTTATTACATTCATAGATGATTTCAGTCGAAAGCTATGGACTTACCTGATCAAGAAGAAAAGTGAAGTGATCAAATTATTTTCCAAGTTTAAGTCTATGGTCGAAAGACAAAGTGGTCGAAAGCTCAAAGTTTTGAGAACTGATGGTGGTGGAGAATATGTGTCGAAAGATTTCGACAGGATATGTGAAAAGGAAGGGATTATGCATGAGGTGGTGCCACCCTATACTCAACAACAAAATGGAATTGCAGAAAGGAAGAATCAAACCATCATGAATATGGTACGAAGTATGTTGAAAGGCAAGAATTTACCTAAAGAGTTTTGGGGTGAAGCTGTTTCGACTGCAACATACATTTTAAACAGATGTCCTACGAAGAAGCTAGAAGGAATCACTCTAGAAGAATGTTGGTCTGGTGTGAAGCCTAGCTTGAGCCATCTGAAGGTATTTGGATCTATTGCACATAGACATGTGCCAGATCAGTTGAGAAGAAAACTTGATGACAAGTCAAGTCAAATGATTCTAGTTGGATATCATTCGACAGGAGGCTACAAGTTGTTCGATCCAGTGAAAAAACAGATTGTGATCAGCAGGGACGTGATCATAGATGAGTTTAAAGAATGGGATTGGACTGAAAATGTCAAGAAAGATTTAGTGGGAATCCTACTTGAAGAGCCAGAAACTCGAGTCGAAAGAGAAGTTCGACAAGAGGAACCAGCAGATATACCAAGTACAAGCAGGCCTTAAAGAACAAGACGCGTGCCTGCAAGATTGCAAGATTGTGTGATTACATCAGATGATGTAATGGATAATGAAGGTGAGCTGGTACATTATTCTTTTTATGA